ACAGTGGCAGCAACGTTATTGTTGACAAACCAATCGTGTAGAATCGTTCGTGCAATGTGCGTGATCGTTCGTGTAACATGCGAGATCGTGCGTGTATCAGGCTCAATCGTTTGTGGTTTTAATTGTGCGTGATCGTGCGTTAAGAAACGTGTAAATTTCGTTTTGTAAGTTTTTATCGGAATGTTATTTGTTATACAAGCATTTGGCTTGTCTGTTTTTTTTTTTTTCAATCCAAATAAAATAAATGAAACGCAATTTACATAATCGAAAGCAGTACGAACTAATTATTGCTTAGAAATAAGCAATATAGTTAGTTGTACACTATTGTGTGCTCGTTAAATAGCGTGATTTTTTGTGATAAACCTTACTCAGATGTTTAAGGATTTTTTTCTCTGATGTTAATTATATTTACTGCTAATTATGGTCAAGATATCTTTAAAATCAATAGATCAAAAATAGATATTTTTACAAATGAATAAATAAACAATTCTCATTGCTTACGTAAAATTGTCGGGGTTTCGTTTATCTGTGTTTATCTCTGGTGCTTACTTTTAATTATTTTTTTAAAATAATTTCTGCAAATAAATGATTTGTAAAATAATTGTTGATTTTTGAGATTCACAAATGGAAACATGGATATAACTTACATGTATAATTTAATTCATTTTCATGCCATTTTTTTTTTCAAACTTATCCCTTTCTGCATATTATGAAATCCAATTCAATCAAAACTCACGGTCCACCTACATGTACATCTTCTGATAGAACAAAAAAAATCAGTTTTCTTAACTCGGAGAATTATGTAAATAATTATTTGTAATCTAAAATAATTAATAAGTCTTACATGTATTTAGTTCCAGAAATATCCATTTCTATTTTTTTTTCATTTTTCAAGTCGATGAAATAATATCAATAATTATTTGAAATCTAAAATAAGTATTAAGCCTTATTTCGTTTTGAAAATATCCATTCCTAAAGAATTTGAACTATTTTGCGTGAAGAATCGTGCGTTTGCGATAGCAGTCGTGTAAGATCGTGTAACGTGTAGAATCGTGTGCATGAAGGATCGTTCGTGTAACAGATTTTATCGTGCGTTAATCGTGCAGAATCGTTCATGTAACGTGATCGTTCGTGCAAGTTGTCAACAATAACGTTTCAGCCACTGTACCACGCCCGATCGTAACTCGATCGTAATCGTAACAGAGCAGAGTTAGGTTGTATAGATGCAATTACTAAAACAGCACTTAGACATTGGCAATTAGGAAAATATCATATGAATTTTATGAAATAATACATAAATTCTTCATAATTCTTCAACTGACTGGAAAGAGATGAGTTTGATATTCAGAATGAATTTAACATGGTGTCTGGTCAATTCGAACCCAGCTCTATTTGGATCATGACATAAGGCCCCAAGACTATAATAGTTGACATTTTGTTTACAAAAAATTTTGCATGTTACAAATCAAATGCATCTGAAATTTGTAGTTTTGATAATTTCCAGATAAAAAAGTTTCTTAACATGCTTTTATTATATTTCAGTGTGAAATACTCTAGCAACATATAAGTCATGATATTATACTGAAAATATGATACATTTATTGACTGGGTTCGAGGGCAACATACGTTTTGTCGGACCGAAGAAAAACAAAGGCCTAAAAATCTGTATGAAAAACATCCAGCCAAAATACTACCCATTAAAAGTTTATATTTGTTAACAAGGTCATTATAATGACCATCAAATTTTTTGAAATGCTTACTTTAAACAAGTTTGTTCCCTGTAATATCTACTTATCTGTTAGCAGCCTTCCTCAGTTTAAAAATTGATTATACTCAAAGCATGCTTTTGAGTATTGAATAAGTTGGGAGACGTAAACCCCATATGCAGTTGATAGAGGAATATTACCATGAAGATGTATGTATATTGAAAGTAATGGAAATGGAAAGGCTTAACTTAAAATGATGAATGATAATTTTTGATAAAATGAATTGATTATACTCAAAGCATGCTTTTGAGTATTGAATAATTTGGGAGACATAAACCCCATATGCAGGTGATAGAGGAATATTACCATGAAGATGTATGTATATTGAAAGTAATGGAAATGGAAAGGCTTAACTTAAAATGATGAATGATAAATTTATGATAAAATGATGATAAAATGATAAAAATAAAATAATAATGATAAAATGAATGATAAAAAAAGATACTGATTTTATCTTTTGTTCATTTAAATCATTATGAGTTTTGATGTATTTCTTTTAAGGTAGTCCAATCCTCAGGTTCTGAAAATCAACAGTTAAGTATTTGAAAATGCTCACAAAAATGTATCTGGATTCAAAAAGTAATGTGTATTTACCCATGGTATGTCTTAAAAAATTTATCATTATAGCTAATCATAATTACATGTACGACTAACAGGAAACATGCAGATCCATGAATTTTTTCCAGGGGAGGGGGGGGGGGTCCATCCCAGTCAAAAAATCCAATCCAGAAATTTTGGGAAAAAACCATAAGGTCCATTACCAAAGGTAAAAAAAAAAACTATTTCATGGGGGTGGTGGTGGGTCCAAAGTCCTTTTTAATTTGCTTCAGTATACTTTTAATAACTCTGCAAATTGCAAGGGGGGCAACCCTGACTCCCCTTCTAGATCCACGCATTGGAAAGAAGAGAAATGTATGACTGAACTGGGTATTGAACCAGGGACCCGACCCATGTATCACTAGTCAGTCACTCTGTTGATTGAGTTAACTAGGTCAATTATCCACAACCATTGCAAGACATCACAGACCACTTTCGATTTCATATCATGCTAATAAGCATTGTTATAAAAGGCTAGATTACAGGATATTCACATTTTTCTACAAATTTTTTTGTTTTTGTATACTTTTATGGGGTACAGATGTCAGCTTGTAAATTTACAAGTTCATTTCTAAGACCTCAAAGAACCTTCTGACCAGGCTACACTTTTTATTGCAGAGATGTAATCTAAATCATTATTTTGGTGGAATTTCAGAGACAGTGGTGTATTTCTTCCTATTTTGATGTCTCAATTATCTAAATTATATCATCATATATAATAAAGGTTTTAAATTTTTTTCAAATCATTTATTGGCCTACATGTATGTTGTATTTTCTGTTAAACATCTGCAATCTAACATCTAAAGAAGTCTTAAACTTATATATTAACTTGATTCTTAATAATTTAGTATTTGATCAACAGTTTGCATATATCACAACTACATTGTTATTCAATTTTAAGTTGGTATAATAAGTGCACATATTTGCGTCTGCTTATTATTTCAAAATCATTTTCTGTATTAAACTATTATGCTCTTATAGACCAATAGCCCCCTTGATGTATAAAGATTTGTCTATAGATGCATATTAGTAGGGAAAATCTTTAAAATTCTTCTCCAGAACAGCAGGGTCATATGTCAGCATCTTCCATTAATGCAGATTCAAGTTTCTTCCTATCATATGGTTGAAGAGAGGGGGATCAAAGTAGGAATGGAAAAAATCTTTAAAAATTGTTCGCATGTTGGGGAGTGGGGGGGGGGGGGGGGGGGAGTTGTTGTCATATATTAAAATATATTATACAGTGTTCCTTGTTTCATTTACTTATGAATTTATGGGGACAAGCTGAATATATATTAAAAATAACATTAAAGAGCTCTAATCAAACTGTAAAATGTGTGATATATAAGTCTAAGCCAGTTCTAAGTGGATCCAGATTGGTCATAGTCTGACAACTCAATGATACTCAGGTGACTGTTAAGGGTCCTCTTTAGTACACTAAATCAAAATGTTATTTAGGCATTGAGAAAATTATATTGCTTAAAAGTACAAATAATGAGCTTATCTATTTCATTTGCAACATAGAATATGTGCATTTACTTCCAGGAAATTTATTTAAAGACATTGAAGTACTGATGAATGCATACAAATAAAGTGTTCAGTTTATTTATACTCGACTATTCAAATGTTTAGAATGCTTGCACTAACTACAAAATTGAGTAATAGACTGTATATTTGTTTGATTTTAAATCTAATGACAAATTACTCTGTATCCATAAAAATACCATAGAATCAGAACACATTCCAATACTAATTGTGACTATTTGATGAATTTATACATTTAAAATGCTGAAAATAAATAGTGATTAAAAATGAAACACTGTATAATGGGTTAGTCTAGTAACCAGTAAGGTTAGCACTGGGGGGGGGGGGGCACAGTGGACAATCAAAGTGTTACAATGGAATATATAGGGAAAAAAATCTTCAAAAATTTTCTTCTCAAGAACACTGGAGCCATAATTAGTCATATTGATTTGGAAGCATCCTCAGGTAGTGTTGATTCAAGTTTGTTCAAATCTTGACCCCCGGGGGTAGGGTGGTGTCACAATGAGGGATCAAAGTTTACATAGGAATATATAAGGAAAAATTTTCTTCACTAGAACAGCAGAGTCATGTTTAGTCATATTGATATGGAAACATTCTCAGGTAATGTAGACAAATGATGACCCCCATGGGTAGGGTGGGGCCACAATGCACTATCAGAGTTTAACATATGGATGTATAAGAAAAAATTCTTTAAAATCTTTTTCTCAAGAACAGCAAAGCCATGTTGATATGGAAGTATCTTGAGGTAGTGTAGATTTCAAGTTTATTTACCGGTAAATCATGACCCGGGGGGGGGTACATCTATAAAAATCATGACGGGGGTAAGGGGGTCATAATAGGGATAAAAGTTTTACATAGGAATATATAATAGAAAAAAAATCTGCTGATGAAGAACAACAGGGCCATATTGACTCACGTAAGTGTTGTGGCCCATGGGCCTCTTGTTACATTTTTCAAAGAGTAACATATTGCTTATCATCCAACTCTCTGTATGTAGGTTTGCTCACTCTACACTGTTTTCTCACCTGTTTTTAACAAATAAACAAAAACAGACTGTATTATAAATGCATATATATGTATTTATCATTTTTGCAGGTAGAACAAATTAAAAGAGAAAACAAATTATGGACAAATGACAGTTTGTTTCTAAGAGAACATTTGTTAATCCCTATAACTAATGAAAGTGCAAGTGATATACCTAATAACTGTGAAGTAATAGAAGCTGACAATACCCTTAGATCTCGTTCTAATAGCTCAGGACAAAAAGCAACATCAAACAATTCTGGAAGTGTAAGTGAAAGTACGGACTTAACGACGATTGACAAAAAGAAGTCCTCAAAGGAATTAGATGCCACAGGACAAGACTTCCTAAGCAAGTTTGACAATTCGTTTGCTGTTCTAAAATCCAATGTGAAGAAAATGGAACAGAATACAAGGTACTTTTATCTTTTATCACATGGTACTTTTTAAGACCATTTATTATTTAGACATACAAGGTCAATTTTAGGTCATGAAGGCGCAGTTCCATTACTTTCATGGCTCTATAAAAGAAATTTTATGCAGATATAAGCTATAAAAATTATATATACAATTTTTTATTTACTTTTATAGTTTTGGATGTGTAATGCAATTTCATATTAAATCTATTATCATGTCATCAACCTCACATTAAGAGGCAACATTTTTCTTCATTTGTGCAGATATTCAGAAAGGTTAAGCATCGGATCTGCTTGCTTTTATATTTGGATAAAATAGGTTTTTTAGTACTGGTGATATTAGATGTTGTCATATGATCTTTCATAAAAGTGCACATGATGAAACATTTTGTATATTTTAATTATGTTTCTGTTTTCTCATTGCATACACATTGACATATTAGTAGTTTTTAGCTCACCTGAGCCGAAGGCTCAAGTGAGCTTTTCTGATCAAAATTTGTCCGTTGTCTGTCGGCGTCGTTGTTGTCGTAAACTTTTCACATTTTCATCTTCTTCTCCAGAACTACTGGGCCAATTTCAATCAAACTTGGCACAAAGTATCCTTGGGTGAAGGGGTTTCAAGTTTGTTCAAATGAAGGGCCGTGCCCTCCTCCAAGGGGAGATAATTATGAAATAGCAAAAAATTAATGGCATTATTGAAAAATCTTCTTCTCAAGAACCAGTGGGCCAGGAAAGATGAAACTCATGTGGAATTATTTTCAGGTAGTGTAGATTCAAGTTTGTTCAAATCATGATCCCTGGGGATAGGGTGGGGCCACAATGGACAATCAAAGTTTTACATAGGAATATATAGGAAAAATCTTCAAAAATCTTCTTCTCAAGAACAGCAAAGCTATGATTGGTCATATTTATGTGGAAGCATCCTCAGGTGGTGTAGATTCAAGTTTGTTCAAATTATGACCCCTGTAGGTAGGGTGGGGCCACAATGGACAATCAAAGTTTTACATAGGAATATATAGGAAAAATCTTCAAAAATCTTCTTCTCAAGAACAGCAAAGCTATGATTGGTCATATTTATGTGGAAGCATTCTCAGGTGGTATAGATTCAAGTTTGTTCAAATCATGACCCCGGGGGTAGGGTGGGGCCACAATGAACGATCAAAGTTTTACATAGGAATATATAGGAAAAATCTTTAAAAATCTCAAGAACAGCAAAGCCACGGTTTGTCATATTTGTACGGAAGCATCCTCAGATAGTGTAGATTCAAGTTTGTTCAAATCATGACCCCCACTTCCTTTTTAGGGGTAGGTTGGGACCACTTATGCATTTAAGCTTTTGAATAAATACTAAACTGATTTTTCCTTTTTTCCTAGCCACAGTGCTCAGGTGAGCGATGTGGCCCTTGGGCCTCTTGTTATTAGGCTTAATCAAGAAATTAGAAATATTGAAGTACAGTCAATTAAGCATTGAATTCTTATTTTGGGATGTCATCGGTACTGTAACACACCTGGCTGTGCCGACAAATTGAATACCGTGGTATGATAATTTGTTGGCATGGCCTAGTGTGTTATAGGACCGACGACATCCAAAATTAAGAATTCAATTCTTATATTTACATTCTCTAATTTTCTCTCTTCATAATTGTTTATTTCTTCAATCTTTAATATGAACTTAGCGCTTTTCAGAACTGGTGTGCTTAATAGATGTAATCTTGAGCCGTTTGTGACATTGGAAAGTTAAATAATGCAAATGAACATTACGAGGAAAAAAAATGACAAATTAATTTTAAATGCACAGTTGTTGTATTTTTATGTTAATTTAACAGGGTAGTTGTTTTTTATTAAATTGAGTCAAAACAATATACATTTTGGTGTTCCTAGAGTTATGAAAATGTATATGTATAGTTCCTACTGTGTATTCTACCGTGCGGTGACAAGGTTTCGCGTATGTTATAGAGGTTTGAACGTTGTGGATTTCTAATGGATTTCACAAAGAAAATTACACTGAATGTAAATATTGTATTATACTATGTACAGATTTTCATCTAAGTTTTGAAGTTCAACTTTAAAGCTAAATGTGAATTTCACATTTGAAAATGCATGACCCGTCTTCAGTGTTATCTCCGAGATTTTGTCAACTTTTGATCATTGATCTCTGATAATTCACCTATATAGTTAGCTTTTAATGTTAGCAGAGTTCCTGATTTTTTTTTTAGTTTAAGGTATATTTACCCCCTGATTTTCAATTCAATGTAGATTTTACTTCTCTGCAAAAATTCAAATGAGTATTTTGTTAATTTATTTGCTGTCCTGACTTCTAATAAAATTTTTCTAAGATGGACCAGAAATGATGTGATTATGATCTTGTAATCAATTTGAAAGTTAAATGTTTTGAATAAAAAAAAAAAACTACAATTAAGGAATGTTTTTAAGTTTTGTGTGAATTATTGGTGTGTAAATCACACAGACTGGCATGTAGGCATATTCTTCATGAAATATGCCTACATGACAAGTCTGTGTGATTTACACACCAATAATTCACACTAAACTTAAAAACATTCCTTATATTTACATTTTACATGCTTAAATGCACCAAAAAAATACTCACTGTTTGAATTTCTCACTGCCCTATATCGTCATATTTTTTTTAACGTCTCTGTAGCCTCATTGTGATGTCACTTTAGCACGAGTTTTGTCATGTATATTTCTACGCGTGAGTATACACAAAAATGATTTCCAAATCAATTTCACAGTTGGCTTAGTAGAAAAACACAGCAAATGTAAATATTAATATGTGAAAGTAAAATCAGAATAAAAAAGGAAAACGAGACTTTCATGCCATTAATCATTTAATAGTTATAACTGAGAAACGTTCTTCAATTTCTTTCAACAGAGAGACTATGTTACAAAGGATTTTATTTTAATTAGATTAATAAAAAGATTAGAAATTTTCATATCACACTTATTTTGATCATCAGCTATCCAAAAAAGATGGCACAAGCTTTTGCAAAATTACTATCCATTCCATATGGTCTTTCTGTCGAAAGAATCCTACAATATGATTTACACTGAGTAAAATCTTTCCCTTTGGATTGGCCTTCTTTGTTGGTTGCCATTACTAGAACTGTCAATCATTCAAATGCTTTTTAATTCATTCTTAGCTTTATTTGAAATTTCAAGCATTTAGCTAACCTCAATTCACATTATTAGTATTCAATCCATTGTATGCAAATCATTACCCATTAGACTTGAGATGAGCATAAATGGGAGGGGGTGAAAGTTTTACATTGGAATGTGAAGGAGAGAAGTACTGTATGTGTACTTAAAAAAGCGAGCTTCATATTTTAGCGGCTTTGGCGCAGAGAACGATGCGCTAATTCATGAATACCGCTAAGAAGTTATTTATCAATACAATATACGGCACGGACATGTATAGCGCTAATTCATAATTTCGCCATCAACTCCATACCCAGTGATTGCGCTAAATTTTGTATATGCAAATTTATGTACACATACAGTATCTTTCATCAAAATCTTCTAAAGAACAGAAAGCCAAAGGTGATGATATGGCCCATGAACCTCTTATCAAATGTCGCCACCCAATATTTCTCTTCCTTAATGATGTCCCCATAGAAACTAGTCTGGCCCTTCATCTGAACAAACTTTAGTCCTCATTATTTAAGGATTATGTTAGCAGGGTTTGACACTAAGGCGCGTCAGACCAACCCAGTCTAGTAAATGCGTGATCCGGTCCTGTTAAATGTTCATGAACTAGACCGACTGGTCGTGTGGATGAAATAAATGTTAACCCTCATTTCAGTCTTTCAAATAAATGCTCTAAAAACTTTTAAAAGAAATTTTCTTAACTTTCAGATTGCAAACACAGCCATTGCTCTGAAAAAGAAAACTTCTTTGCATGACACAATCGCTATTTTTGAGCCCGGCTGTAATAGACAAATCACAATCGAAACTAGCTTCGTTCAATATCACCGTCATGATAGCTCAGTCGGTAGAGCACTCGCTCCGTGATCGGAAGGTCGTGTGTTTGAATCAAGGCCGCGACTGAACTAAGTCGATAAAAAATAGGTTGCAACTGTTCCTTCACCAGGCGCTCGGCACTTTGAAGTGAAAGTTGCAGGTCCTTTGGATGAGACCTTAAAAACTGAGGCCCCGTGTCACGGTAGGCATTGGCACAACAAAGAACCCTCACTGCTCAATGGCCCTGAGTGCCGAGTAAAGGTCTGAATTTGAAGCCCTCCACCGTTATATGGTGATGTCTCTATATGAGTGAAAAATTCTCGAATGGGACGTAAAACAACATACAATCAATCAATCATTCAGTATCATTTGGTATGAATAGTCATTGAATAATATAGTTTTTAATTTATTTACATGTATTCTTATGGTAATAATTTTATTTAAGTTCCTTGTTGTTCTCATTGGGCTGCTACCTATGGAACAATGTACACATGAACAGAAGCAAGAGATACACTGTAGTATGGTTTCGAAACTTTTTTTTTCCATTATAATAGGTTATAAAAAGAAAATTTTCAAGTTTGGTCAGGGCTAGTGATTTTATGGTCAGGGCTAGTAAAAATTATGGGAAGTAGCCCGACTGGTCTAGTACTCATAAAAGTTAATGTCAAACCCTGGTTGGGTAAGTTTTGTTGAAATTGATTTGGTGATTGCATGTGTACAGAAGTTGAAACTGTAAAAAGCTTAAGCATAATGGGGTTGAAGACAATGAAAGACTAAAACAGATGGTGAAAGGTCACCCAAGTTCGTGTCCAAAAAATGTTTAAAATCCATTTGTGAAAACTCTTTTGTTTGAGCACTCCATTATTTTTCAGTAATGGAGACTTTCAAACATGGTGAATACAATTAAATATCATGTTCTTCCTTAACTAAATGTTCTAAAGTTAAGATAATTAAATTTTAATGAGAAACTATTGCAAAACTGCTCATTTACTCTCCACATTGAACAACCGAGGCTGATGGGG